AAAGGTTTTACCCCTAAGCCAGTTAACAAACAAAATGTTGGCAGGATCTATACACTTAGTCTGTGCCAGCACAAGAGTCTGCAAGACAGAAAAGGCAGGGAAGGGAAGAGAAGCTTCAAATCTAAGCAGCTTAAGGACATCAAGAACATTCTCCAGCCTGCTCAAACTTCCAACATCCAACAAAAATTCCTGCTGCAGGACAATCAGCAAGGGACACCAGTTCATCTTGTCCTTGGCTCTGCCTCAGTGCCCTCCATCACTCCCAGCTCAGCAGCACAAAGTGAAGGGAGGTTCTGATCCAGCTGGAAATCCAAGGGACACAAAAGGGTCATTACCTTGCCTACTCCTCAGGGGGACCTCCATGCAGCACTAAACCAGCATGTTCCTGCACCACAGTCACTGAAGTCATACAGAATCACATTTTCTTTGCTGATTTTTTGCATCAAGGTTGTGCAACCCAAACTTCCAGTTCTTTGGCTCAGGGTTTAAGCACCACTCTGGGGACAACCTGTAATCCTGCTTCATCAGTTTGCCATTCCTGCATGCTGACCTGTTCTCCAGCACAGCAGTTATCAGGCTTTGATAACGGGAAGTTCAGACCAGGCTATCACCTTCACACAGTTGCTTGCCCAACACATCAACACCCACGTGCAATAAACCCCATCCATACACCAGTTAGATCACAACCATTTGGGCCACAAAGCCCAGCCTCCACAACAGGCACCCAAGCAGAAAACAGGGCAGCAATTCCACAGCCCTGCCTCCAGCTGCTGGGGGGGATAGACAGCAGGCCTTACTCTTTTCTAGTCCCCACCTCCCAAATTACAGCTGGATTTATGTAACAAGAGTATATACGTGGATGGTGGTGGACAGCAGAACACAAGAATTCTGTACTAACAACAGAGGCTTCTTAAAGGGAAAAAATAATAATAATAATAAAAAAAAAGATCTTCCCCCAACCTGCTGTCCTTTAGAAAGTCACAAAGAACAATCCAGATGGCATAACAAAGGCACACGTTCAAAAATCCTTTGAACCTGTTCAAGTAATTCTTAGCACAACTCAGTTGTTAGGGGATAACAAGAGATCTTTGCTCAGATTAAGAGCAGATTTATCTTTTAGCAACTTCTCTTTACAAATGATGAAAAGATAAAACCTGAAGAAGTGGATACAACCGGTCAGTTCTCAGAGAAAATGCATTCTTATCCTTCTAACAGAAAGGAGTCCTTATTTCAGTTTCCCACTTCAAAAATAAATATATCCATTCTCAATGTCGACAGGAAAGCAACTGCTTCCTTTATAGATAAAGGACTAAAAGATGCATCTCAAAAGACACGGGTTGTTTTTTCTTTTCTTTTTTTTTTGTTTGTTTTTATTTTTTTATTTTTTTATTTTTATTTTTTTTTAGAGACAGATTTATATCAAATATACCATGAAACCATTTGGCTTTGATTATTTAGCCTGAAAAGAAGAAAGGTTTTTGCTACCATATAGAACTGAACATTTCAAATGAACTCCGCCAGGATGTGTCAGAGCACCTTCAAACGTCTATATTTTACTAATGGATCGTTGATACACCAATTATTGTGTGCCAATAATCGAATTAAAAACGCACTCTGAGTAAAGAATCTGGCCCAGCTCCAAACCCAGACTATTTAAACAAGCTAATGGAAACATTAGGTGCCAGGCTGCGTGTTTTGTTTCCTAATGAAGAGAGTATTTGGCTGACACGGAACCAATTTACGTGTAAAAGCCAAACAATTAAAAAGATCACGGATCTAAAACTGAGCTGTTTCACACATGCAAACCAAGCCACCTAACATCAAATAAACTGACACATTCAAACAAGACTGAGTTACAGTGCACGTAGCTTGCTAACAGAGAACTGCACCCAACTACCACATTCCATAACTGCATACAACAAATACTAACAACCTAAAAGACAGAAATCACAGCAGTTAGGTTACAAATGGTAGATGAAGATTCAAACTATCCTTCTCTCTCCTAAAAGATCTTGGGGCAGACTGCACCCACAGATCATAATAAAATGGCTTATGTTGGAAGGGACCTTGAAAACCACCTATCTCCAACCCCCTGCTGCAGGCAGAGCTGCCAACCACTAAATCAGGCACCAGATCAGGCTCTGCCCAGTGTCCCCTTGCAGCCTGGCCTTGAACACCTCGAGGAATGGGGCACCTTCCCCCATTACTTTGGCTGCCCTTACAATTGCCTTCTATTTTGATAAAGAGGTACATAATGTCCAATAGAGCGGATGGTGAGCATCAGCCTGTGACAAATGTGACGTGTGGAGGCTATAGGTGGATGCTGGAGCAGAGATGCACTTCTGAGGGTGTGGGAAGGTAAGAGTCTGCCTGAAGTAGTGAGCAATCTGGCACAAGCCCTGCAGTTTCCAGCCGTTCAGCCATCTCCAAGTTTCAAGTTCCATAAGCTGAGAAAGCAAGCCAGCATCTTCTCACTCACAGTGGTGATTATTTTGATGTAAAACTGTTAGCACATGGCATTCAAAGGACAAAGCTCCAAGTCCTAGCTAAAAACAATTATCCCCAGCATGCGAAATCAGATTCTAAAAGGCTTTTTGCTTTTCACTGTCAGATGGTTTTTCCTTGGTTTTCCTCATTCTTGGCTGCATAAATACACACCAGGCATCAAGTAGAACACCCTGGTTAGTCCCTGACAAATCAGTGACTCCAGCACAGGACATACTTCATGTGAGCCACAAATGCAGAGAACCCCCACTCCTATAGAAAAGGAAAAGCTTTCACGCATGCGAGTCCCATAAGGAGAAGAAAGGAGCAATTAGAAAACAGTATTAAATTCAAACATCTTCAATGGGGTCTGCTGAAGCATATGGGAAGGATAAGAGGAAAAGAATAATTAAACAAAACAAAACACATACTTCAGGGCAGTAACTGAACTTTCCAGGTCCAGAACATCTTATGCATTAGAATGCTCTCACCTGCAGCCTCAGTAGGGCTTCCCATGAGTAACAGACATATACAGCATCCACCCCATTGGGACAAATGTTATGCTTCTTCACCACTGCTTTTCCTTTCCTCTCCAGATGTTTTCTCCTTAATTTTAGCTTGAAAAACTGAGAAAGCTACTCCCTGTGACTGTCACATCAAATACAGGTCAAGCCTCAAGTTGATGCCACAGAAATTGGTGTCAATTTTAGCTTCTCTGAAAAAAATCCGAGTTAGAAGATCAGATTGCAATTTATCCATGCAGACAACAGGAAATCCAAGATTCTGCCTGACAGTAAATAACTCTTAGGAATTAAGGCTGAGATCTTGAGACCCCTTTCTTTGGAACACCACACTGCTACTCATCTTCCCCCCAAAACACCACCAAGGAAATAAAGAACAAACAAATCAAAACCACCACACAAACATACATACCACCAAATCACACATGCCACTGTACAAATGCTGCCTTACAGGTAAAGACTCAAAGAAAAGCCAAAGCAACATTGTACAGTTTGTCTCTTGCCCCTCTGAGAAGAGAGGAGCATTCTGAACATATACCACAGCAAGAATACAAATCTAGCTAAAGAGAACAACAATGCATTTTGATTTCAAGGTTTTCAGACAGAGGAAAGAAAGAGGACCACATATTGCACTGGATTCCTCAAAAATGCTCCAGTTTCTCAGACTGATTCACCTTACCATGATAATTATTTGGGCTTCTGAGGTTATCATACTTCAAATATCCAGTAACTGCAACATAGCAAACAAGATAAATATTCCTTCTCTTTCCCACTGCACGAGATAACATTGCCTTTGTGTTTACATGCTAAGAAATATAATCTCATTCTAAAGACATATTTATTCAGATAGTGGATACTGTATGAATTATTGAACAAAATTAACCAAACAAAAAAAAAAAAAATACCAACATCATTAGCATTAACAGATTATTTGCAGCATTTGCTTGCAGTTTATTTGTCTCTGCATCAATAGCCCTTGAAATGTACCTTCCCTTTCTACATACATCAGTGACACCTCTTACAGCGCTGGAAGAGTTCCATTTTAAGTTTTTGAACAGTTGGAACCCTTGATGAGGCTTAAAGAGTCTGATACCTGTGAGGGTGGGTGTCTCAGAGGAGGTCAGTGTAAGTACTCAGCAAGCATTGCAAGACTTTTCATATGAGAAAGGCATCAAATTAAGCTCCCTCGCACACGTCAAGACCTTGACCAGGTTTACCAAGCATAAAGCAGCGTTGCTCTAACAACCATCAGTTAAAACACATTTTGATAGCACACATTAGATGCTTTTATATGCATGCAAAGGCTTCTTCCAAGAGGAAGCATCAATGAAAGCCAGAACATTCACCCTTATGCGCCTTTATGAATAACACATTTATTCTTCATATAAAAACAGTGATAACCTAGGACAGAGAAAAGGTGGGAAGCCATCAGTTTCAGAACTGATCAAAGTTTATAAGAAAACAAAACAAACAAAAAAAAACCCAACCTTCCACAAATATTGGGTATGGGCTTGAATTAACCATCTACACTACAAGCTTTGAAATCTCAATCTATGCACATGAAGCAACACACTCAACAGTGAGCTGATGCCTACTTTGATCAGGGACTATCAAAGGGATTCCATGCATTTAAACTCCTAAGTCCCACTGCAATTTAATAGTCTGGAGAATTTAAATGCCTTGGACTCAATCATACAAGTTTTTTTTTTGTTTTGCTTTTTTCTTTTTTTTCTTTTTTTTTCTTTTTTTTCCCTCCTTTTCCTTCCTTTCCGCCTTTCTGACTGTCAGAATACTTAAACCATTTCTTTCCACTGCTGGAAAAAGAGGAATGACATAGAATCATAACCATCACCTGCCACTGCTCGCTCTCAATAACGACTCAACTAAGGCCAGCTGAGTAATGCTCATCATTTCTAATTACTTCAAATCAAAAGCAAAGTGTTACTTTGCTGTTTGTGTCTAAGTGTGAGTGCTCGCAATTTGCAGCGCAGTCACCTCCGCTCCGGCTGGCGTTCGTGCAGCGCCGATCCACGTAATCCCAATCCTTTGTTCCCCAACGAAAGGAATCACAGATCCTCACTGTCAGCGCACGTTTAGACCGCCGTTTACAACAATTTGAACGCTACACCTACGAAGGACGTTTTCAAGACTCCGAGAGTCCCTGAGGTCAGCGGGAAAGAGCTCTGAGGTCACCCAGCGCGGCCACGTGCAGCCCGGCACGGCTCACAAGGCAGCCGCTCCGCGCCATCATGGCGGCGCCGCCTCCTCACCTGAGCGGCCCCGGGCACGCGCCCATCGCTCAGCAGCAGCCAACCCTCAGCGCTCGGTTAGCGCCGCGCCGGCCGACGCCGGGGCACGGGGACGGCAGCTCCGACAAGTAACTGTTTGCATTTCAATACGGTGCTCTGAACGGCTAAGAACCAGCCGGTTTGATAAAGGAGTTCGAGAACAGGTCTCAAGGTCATCAGAAATCTCTGATAGCCGCCTCCAGAGCTCACTGAGAATTGCAATCACTGCCACAGAACAAAACTGATGCATTAGTGTCACAGGAACAAGGTCAAACATCTCATTAACTTTACGGTTTCTTTCCTCTCTTTTTTAATATTTTAAGAAAAAAATAAAATTCACATATAAACAGCATTGTATATTCTACAAGGGCTGCTCCAAATGCAATGCCTCCTGTTTTATGATGATGTCCCAGTGTCAGAGACGGTTGTTGGTATGGCAGTAGACGTTGAACCCTCCTACCAATACTTAGTTCCATTTTATTGCTGTGTTGCTGGTCTAGGATTAAATGGGGAGGTTGGTGGCTCTGCACGTGGCAGGGGGTTGGAGATTCACGGTCCTTGATGTCCCTTCCAACCCTGGCCATTCTGTGATTCTGTGACAGCTGGCAGCAGAGGGGCACTGACAAAATGGCATCTGATGTGGAAGCGCGCATGAAGCAAAGGGGTGGAATTGAATTCCTCCATATGGAGAAAAAAATGGCACCCACTGACATTCACTGATGTTTGCTGAATGTTTATATGGAGACCAAACAGTAGATGTGAACAGAGAGGCAATGGGTGGCATGTTTCAGCAGAGGCAACAGTAGGTCACCTCTGCTGGTGCACACCACACTTGTAAAATTCTGCAAGTTCTGGTTCTTCACCGGCAAAAATACAAAGCTAATGGTGTTGGGGGATAAAAAAAAAAAAAAAAAAAAAAGGTTTTGTAGACAAGAATTTGCTCTATCACACTGTGTTATTGTGCTCTTGGTGTCTGTTATAATTTCTCTGGAAACAAATATGAGGCATTACTTCCAAGCAGGTTAAGTTTATGCAGCCCAAGACAAGTCCTCTTGACACGGTGCAGCCATGGCAAACCAAAGCTTGGACTAACCCCAACCCATCCCCACCGTGCCCACTAACCACATCACTCAGTGGCACATCTCCATGTTTCTTGAACACTCCCAGAGACAGTGGCAGCCTGCACCTATGCATTTCCACTCATTCTGAGAAGAAATTTCCTTAATAGCCAATTTAAGTGTCCCCTGGCACAATTTAAGGCCATTACCTCTCATCCTGCTGCTGCACCCTGGGAAAATAGGTCAACCCCCATCTCACCACAACTTCCTAATGGCAATGGCAAGATCTCCCCTGAGCCTCCTCTTCACAAGACTGAACAATTCCAGTTCCCCCAGCCTCTCCCTATAAGGCCTGTGCTTAGAGTCCTCACAGCTTTGTTGCCTTTTTCTGGACATGCTCTAGGACTTCAGTGTAGCCCACAGCTTCTCATGGCTATGACAGGAAGAGGGCCACCTCTTCCTGTCAGAGGTTCCTCTCTCCCTCTTGTCTTTGCACTCCACCTCCACTTTCCAGCCATGATATCTCAGTCATGAGATACCATATGCCCTTCATCCCCCAAACATAGCATCTGCTGCATGCAAGATGTAGACCTCTGGTTTCCAAAAACAGCAGGACTTGCCTCACAACACACCTTTGTGGTCTCAGTCACCAATTACTCCCAGCTGCTAAATGCAACATAGCTGCATTCCAGAGTAAAATAGGGTTTATTAAGGCACTGAATTGATAGCTTCATATTCTTCCATGGTAGACGCTACAAGCACATGGACAGACAGCCCTCATTGATCCAAATGCTCTGCAAAAGCTCTATTTCAAAGCATATGTTTCTCTACTTGATGCTTTGACAGACAAGTAACAAGATGATGCCAGGCATGCAAACATGCAAGAGAAAACTCCTGCTTTAAGTGTGCATTTCCCTGTCAAAAAACTGGACAAACACTGAACAGCTGTTCGCAGCCAACACAAGGAGTGCCACCAAAAAGGGATGAGCAATGCTACCCAGGCCCTGGACATCAGAGACTCACAGCCCAGCCTATGTCGTATGCCAGGATCAGCCTGACCCGAGCATCCCATCTAGCATCACTTGGATGTTAGGAAACCTCTCCATTAAATAAGAAGTGTATGCAGCTACCTACAGAGGCCCATCACCCTGCTGCATACCCCACTGAAGTCTCACTTGAGCCCCTTGCTTGTTTTATTCTCAGGCTCTCCACCGTTGCTGAGGAGCACTTCCCACTCAGGGCCCTGCTCACTCTTCTGGGATCCTTACTGAAGTTCTGAGACCAAGTGTCATCTCCATTTCCCAGGGTAGTCACCAGCAGTCAGGGGACACAACATCAGGGAATTAGCCAGGATGTGGAACAGTGTTACAGGGTGCTGCAGTCACATCCTTTGGATCCCCAATCTGTAAATAAAACTGTCTTCATAGATTGAAATAGCATTTCTCTTAGGTAGGGAAACATTTCTTTCAAGCATGCATTTCAGTGGCCTGGAATATTTTACTTCTGATAAGTATTTAATTTTTTATAGGTTTAATCCAGTTTATAAGTCACATAGAAAGCACATTAAATAGAACGCAAGTCTTCCTCCTGCTGTTTTATAGAAAACATACATAAATCTCTCTCAGATTCACTGTCGTGCCTGTTTGCTCTTCTAGCTGCAAACCTCACCTGAAATTCTGGGCTCCTTCATGCTAGAATTAACCACCCAGAAAATATTTCCCTCAGAAAATAACACACTTTTTTTTTTAAATAAAGGAAAAATTGAATTATAGCAACTTGGAGTTATTTTCTCTACTGAATGGGTAGCATTTTTGTGTCCAAAAGCAGATCTATAATCAGGTAAAACTGCTTTAAAACGTCAGGTCCCACATCCCATTACACACAACTACAGCATTAAAATAAAAATAAAAGGTGCTTTCTTTATTTTAAAAACAATTTGGGAGCATGTTGTGCTATGATTTGTAGCTTCTCACCTGGAACCGTTCAGGTTTCCAAAGCATAGTTACTCATGGTGTATTATTATTCGGAAACTGTCTCCTGTCCCAGCCAGACACCCCAGCAGTTGAACAATTAGCAAAACACACAGATATTCTCCCCTCCACCATATTTGCTTGATTTTCTTCCATGCCCAGCTGCTTGCCATGTCTGTGTTCATCTGTGATGGTGAGGATTTACTCCCCCCCCCCCCACCCTTTTAATAGGGATCAAAACAATTAATAAGTTCCCTACCCTTAAAACTACAGAGCTTTGTAACAACAATAAAGAAACTGAACAGCTACAGATATCCTAGAGGCCTTCCACTATGACCTACAAAAGAAAAGGAGGGGAAGACAACACAGTTTACTGATGACGGTTATCAGCATTAATCAACCTGCTAACAAGTTAGCTCTGAGCAGTTCAAATGAGGGGGAGAAAGTCACTTCAGCAGTACCTCAGAACTCCACAGTTAAAAAGGTTAAAGATCCACTTAAGAACATTGACTTAGAATATCAGAAAGTACAAAAATCATAAAGAGAGTGAAGCCCTACGCATCTCATGCTCCTGTTGTTAGGTACCTTATGAGCTTGGAGGGCCACATCTCTGTGCTGCTTTCTTCCAACACGAAGATCAGTAAAACAGCACACTTCACCCAACACCATACAGCACAACTCCAACTGAACCACGCTCCCTGGGACTGAAGGCTTATGGGCAGCTCAGCACAGCTCATTATTCCCAGCTGAGAGTGAGCCAGCCAGCAGGGTGCAATCCTGCAAACAGCTCACAGCTGGCTCAGGGACACCTCACTCATCAGAGCTCATTTCCCCCAGCTGAGAGAAAGTTGAGCCAAAAAACCTGGCACCGCCAGCCACATAATTCCAGCTCTTAAATAATATAACAACTGCTGCTGGTAGAACAAAAGCTGTTTTTATTTGTTTCCTAAGAGTTAAGAAAATAATAATTAACTGAGGCAACTGCTTGTATGATGGAATCTATGCTTCTGATACAGTAATAGAGCTTTGCTAGACATTTAAGATAGATGAGTTGTAACCACCCTTTCCTCCCTCCCCCCCTCACCACACATCCAATTTTACCTTGTCCTTTGATTCTCTTCATTGTTTTCTTCTACCTTTCTCCTTGCATTTCCCAGGGTTGCAGTAGGGTGTAGATTATTTTGGAAAGTTTCCAACAGTGTCCCCCAAATTTGTTGCATTTAGTTCTTTGTCACTATTTGTCACAGCTGCTCATAATATAAGTTCCATTCAGCAAAGCAAACGAAAATAAAATCAAATCAAAGGGTCTGAGCACTGTGGTTGCTGTACCTTGGTTTCCTTTGAAAGGAAGGCTTTTTGCCACCAAGCCAGCAGCTTGTAACTTCTCTTAGAGAAGTGATATGCCTAAACTTGAACAGGTTTTAAAATAAATGTTTTCTAAGCTAACAGTTCAAATTCAAATCCATGTTAAGTGCTCAAAATCATCACACTAATGTAAGTTCCTCTTTCAGGTAATTTTCATTTCTGAGGCTCTCAAAACATTTCCCTTTCCAGAGCTAGCACTGAATACAAGTTCATCAGAAGTAGTGCTGGCAGTCTCACTGTTAAGAGCCAAAGCCTGGCAGGTCCTTTCACTGGAAGGGTTGTTGGCTTACACAGGTGAGAACCCAGGCCTAAATCAGTAGGCTGAGAGAAAGTGAGATGTTTTGCTGAGCCTTCATCTACAGTGCAGCAGTGGCAGGTTACCAAAGCAAGGCAGGTGGTGGGAGTTTCACTTAGAAAGCCAAGTATCACATACATGTAGTTGTAACTCAGCATTTAAACATTCTATCAAGCTTCAACTCTGAAATTAAAAAGCACAATTACTATATTTTTATCCATTGCAATAGAAAAAACATGACATACTTCTAAGAAA